TATAGAGCGAAGGCACTTTATTTTATTTTATTTATTTATTTTGACACAGAGTCTTGCTCTGTCACCCAGGCTGGAGTGCGGTGGTGCAATCTCAGCTCACTGCCACCTCTGCCTTCCGAGTTCAAGCAATTCTCTGCCTCAGCCTCTTGAGTAGCTGGGATTACAGGTGGGTTCCACTGGGCCTGGCTAATTTTTGAATTTTTAGAAGAGACAGGGTTTCATTGTCTTGGCGAGACTGGTCTTGAACTCCTGACCTCGTGATTCACCTGCCTCGGCCTCCCAAAGTGCTGTGAGTACAGGCTTGAGCCAGTGCACCCAGCCTATTTTTTATTTATTATTACACTTTAAGGTCTGGGATACAGGTGCAGAACGTGTAGGTTTGTTACTTAGGTACACATGTGCCATAGTGGTTTGCTGCACCCATCAACCCATCATCTACATTAGGTATTTCTCCTAATGCTATTCCTCCCCTAGTCCCCCACTCCCCAACAGGCCCTAGTGTGTGATGTTCCCCTCCCTGTGTCTGTGTGTTCTCATGGTTCAGCTCCCGCTTATGAGTGAGAACATGCAGTGTTTGGTTTTCTATTCCTGTGTTTGCTGAGAATGTTTCCAGCTTCATCCATGTCCCTGCAAAGGACATGAACTCATCCTTTTTTGTGGCTGCATAGTATTCCATGGTGTATATGTGCCACATTTTCTTCATCTAGTCTATCATCGATGGGCATTTGGGTTGGTTCCAAGTCTTTGCTATTGTGAGCAGTGCTGCAATAAATATGCTTGCACAGGTGTCTTTATAGCAGGATGATTTATACTCCTCTGGGTATGTACCCAGTAATGGGATTGCTGGGTCAAATGGTATTTCTGGTTCTAGGTCCTTGAGGAATTGCAATACTGTCTTCCACAATGGTTGAACTAGTTTACACTCCCACCAACGATTTTATTTTAACCATTCCAACGTCTGTTGTTAATTGTGCTCCTTAGTAACAAGAGGTCTCCACGAGTCAGGTGTGCTGATGGACATTCAGGGGTGAATTTAGGAACATAAGTACTGGGAAATCTTTGCTTGGTTTCAGCGGAGGCCATCTATAGGAGGAAAACACCCACCCGCAAAATGGAAGAAAAGGCAGGGAGACTCAGGAAGATCTAGGCAAGTCCCTAGCCTGCAAGGCTGGAGAAAGTGAGTCCATCTAAATTCTTTGCAGAACGCAAAGCACACCCCTAACTTGTAAACAGTGTCCTCCCTGCAGTTACACAGACACAGGTCCTTCTCCTCCCTCAGATTTTGGTCCATCAATTCCACTACTTTGATAGCTCTCGGAGACCTTGAAAGTGGGTGTCTGTTATATTGTGTCTGGCGTTTTCCATTGCTCTCCTTCACAAATTGGACTAGAGATGCTCTTAAATGTAACGCCCCTGTCTGCTTCCTCCCCGCCCCTTGCAGCTCCTTCTGGACGAATGTCCGTCGTTAAGAACCTGCAGAACCTGGACCCCAGTCACAGGATAAGTGACCGGGACTACATGGGCTGGATGGATTTTGGCCGGCGCAGTGCCGAGGAGTATGAGTACCCCTCCTAGATGACCCCGCCTCCGTCAGCCCAAAGGGAAGCACACTCCCAACCCAGAGGAGGCAGAATAAGAAAACGATCACACTCATAACTCATTGTCTGTGGAGTCTGACATTGTATGTATCTATTTATTAAGCTCTCAATGTGAAAAATGTGTCTGTAAGATTGTCCAGTGCAGCCACACACCTCAGCAGAATTGTGCAAATGGAAGACAAAATGTTTTCTTCATCTGTGACTCCTGGTCTGAAAATGTTGTTACGCTATTAAAGTGATTTCCTTCTGCCCTGTCCTTCCCTGCGTCTACTGAGGGTGAAGGGCTCCATTTGGTCCTCAGAACGTGCAAGGAGGGAAGCCTGATAGATGCTACATCAGGACAAATCCTTGTAGCAGAGGTCCCTAGAAACGGCTTGGGAAACGCAGCTCAGGCCTGGAGGTGACTTTGCTGCAGGCCGGGTAGACAGTGAAAGGGCCATCGTTAGGCAGCTCCAGACCCCAGGCCTGGCCACAGTGACCCCCTATCTTGTTTGCCAGTCCTACTCCCACCAGGGCTTCCTTGAGGTTCTCTTGGCCTTTAAACAAGTTACACGCAGTAGCTGGTAGTGGTTTGGATACATTTGATCCCCCGTGGCTCTGTGGCACAGAGGTTATCATCCTTCCTTTATAGACGAGAAAGCAGTCTCTCAAGAGCGAAGGTGGCTGACCCATATGCCCCTTCACCTCTGTTTCACTTCAGTGCCAATGAGATTCAGACGGGAGGCCGTACGTCCCTAGGCTGGCAGGCCGTTCGTCGCCGCAGCACTTCTCCAGCTGAGTGCACAGGAATCAACCCTCGGGGAATCTGTTAAACTGCACGTCGGATTCAGCAAGTCTGGGTGGGAGCCTGAAGCTCCCAGGTGACATCGGTGCTGCTGGTTGCGGAGAAGAGGCTGTAATTGCTTTTCCTTGTGTCCCGCTGTGTGTTGGAGTTGGTGGGACTCCAAAATGCTGCGGGGACGCTGGTGGTTACACAGAACAGAAGCCAATCTGCCTGTGGGTTCTCTGCAGGAATCAGTGCGGGAAACTGGTCCGGAGCGACACCCAGGGATGATCCAGTACCCACCACCCACAGTGCAGCCTTCCTGTGCCTCCTGCTGAGGCCTCCGAGACCCCCCATCCTCGTCCAGCAGAGGCCCTGGGTGCCCAGTGGAGCAGAACCTGGCAGCCCCCAAGGGAAAGGCATTGAAAACAATATGGCAAATCTAAAGCCTTACCCAGCCCAGCACTACCTACTGCTGGCGCTCGGTGCCCCCCTTTTTAGTGTTGGGGATAGGACACTGGGAGGGAGCCCCAGGAAGACGTGGTCAGTACAATCCTTTCACTTGAGCTGGAGCTGGGATTTGGTGTAAAACTTACTCCAAATGCTAACACCGTATTGGTCCCTCCTGAGGTACGGTCTCATTTGGTCCCTGCAATTGTTCTCCAAGACCGAAGACTGCCTCATAGCTCAGGTGTCCCTCCCCCACTCAGACCAAAATACCCCGATGCCTCTCCCCTCACAAAAATCACTAGTTTTATGGGCCTGTGGGGGTTATGTGCCCTTGCGTGTGTGTTGTGCGTGTGTGTGTACTGTTTCTTTATTGGGGATGGGGGATGAATGAAGGGCTTGGAATTTAATATAGAATCCGCAGTGGGGAATGGATGGTGAAAGTCTGATCTCAATTACTGATTTCTGAATCATCAAGGAAGTGGGCGTTAAAATATCGTTTTCAAAGGTGAAGTCATGACTCATACAACACAAAATATGTCAAAGTATCATTTAGCTCTCCAATTACTAAAGGAACCAGTGAGATGCCACAAGCACTTCACAGCAGAATCTGAAGGAGAGACATGTACAGGTAGCTAGGAATGCCAACGGAGAGGAAACAGGTTCACATCCGCAGGTCGAGAAAACACACCGTCTGGAATGATCTGTTATCCGCAATACAAGTCAGTTGTGTCATTAGAGGACAAAATTCACTTATGTTTCTTTAAGTTTTGTTTTGTTTTCCTGATGCAGGGTCTCGGCTCTGTTGCCCAGGCTAGAATACAGTGGCGCAATCACAGCTCACTGCAACTTCAGGTGTGTGCACCACTCCCAGCTAATTTTTGTACTTTTTAGAGAGACGGGGTTGTGCCATGTTGCTCAGGCTGGTCTCAGACTCCTGAGCTCAAGCGACCCGCCCACCTTGGCCTTGCAAAGTGCTGGGATTACAGGCACGAGCCACCGCACTTATGCTTAATAAGCAGGAATTGTTGGCATTTCTCTCAGTTTTCCAGGGATTGTAAATCACCGAGTCAAAGACAGACCCCAGCCCCACCAGATGACTGCCCAGCGCTCCACTCAAAGGACACCCAGTCATCCCCTTTGCCCGTGTCCAAGCCTTTCACAGCTTTATCTAACTGAGGAAAGGGAAAGGCAACAACGATCCCGGCCTCCCCTTGTGTGCTGTACAGTCTCCCCGGCATCAGCCCAGGAAACAGTCCCATTCCCGTGAGCGAATCATGATTCCACTCCTCCAAGAGGAAACAGGAGCTCAGGAGGGTTAAGTGGCTTGCAGGTTCACATGCTGCCCAGAAATGGCAGTGCCAAAATGGAAGCTGCTGGCTCTGGAACTTCTCTATGAAAGAACTTAGAGCTCCTAACCCCACTTTAAAGAGGCCTGAACTCACACAGAGAAGCCAGCCCCTCCTAACCCCACTTTAAAGAGGCCTGAACTCACACAGCCACAAAGCCATGCCCTCCTCCTCCTCCACCCAGCTGTGTGATCCCAGGCAAGCTCATGCCCAGTCTTTTCCCCCTCTGTCCATCCTCCCCTCGCTGACCCCACTTTTCCTGCTAGCTGTTGTTCTGAAATCCCTTGGGAGTGCAGGAAGTCCACCCAGGCCACACCCTCTACAGCTACTCCTGCTGTTGCGTCCTCAGCTCTGCCAATTAAGGGTGCTCGGAAGTTTCATTTTTGTTGATCCACCAGAATTTAAAAGCTGGAGAGAGCAATGGCTATGATTTTAGCTCAGCCCACACCCTATCCTGTCCCCAAGGCTGGAGTGCAGTGGCACGATCTCAGCTCACTGCAAACTCCGCCACCTGGGTTCAAGTGATTCTCCTTCCTCAGCCTCCTGAGTAGCTGGGATTGCAGGCCCCTGCCACCACACCTGGCTATTTTTTTTTTTTAGAGACAGGGTTTCACCACATTGGTCAGGCTGGTCTCCAACTCCTGACCTAGGCGATCCGCCAGCCTCGGCTTCCCAAAGTGCTGGGATTACACGCGTGAGCCCTGCACCCAGCCACTCCCATTTTACAGATAAACTTGCCCAAGATCACACAATGAATGAGGGACAGATTTGCCTGGTACTCCCTGCGTATGCTGATGCCTACAGACCTTTGTTTAGGAGATCTGACCTGCCCTGACCCGCAATTGCTAACATTCCCATGGCCAGCAGCCAGTGGGTGGACAGGATTCACTCTTCCAAGATTGCGTCACCAAAACTAGGCTGTAGGACGTCTGCCCCACAAAGAAAGGAATGAACCCAAATGGAACCTTTGCTCTCAGGCTCAGCCAAACCAGGTAAAAGGAAAGGAGGATGGAAGAAAGTGTGTGTTTATTCTTTCTTTTAAGATAGAACCACAAAAAACACGCCCCCCCACCCCCACCTTTTTCTGTTGACTTCGGTTTGAAGAGCCAAAGGAAAGAATCCTCATCGCGTCGCTAGATTTCCGGGGACTGTGAATATTTTTTTCCAGCTCCTTCGAATTATTGCTAGTCCTGAAACTAAATAAGGTAGAAGTCAAGCAGAAAGAGAGAAAATCGTTGCCTCACTAATTTCCCCTGAGTTCTAGGTTCTGAAAACATCTATCACCAGATATTAAAATGATCAGTTTGTGGCTGCCTCCTGCTCTGATCTAGATCGGGGGTCCCAGATGAGAGAGCACCTGCCCTGGACTCCACAGCATTCCCCAGGCCACGCCAGACAGACCCCCCCCCGCCCCGCCCCGACAGCTCATCTCACTCCCACCTCCCTGCCTTCGCCTCATCACCGCCCTCCTCACTGCTTTCACTCCAGCCTCACTGCCTGGAAACACTGAACTCACTCCTCACTCAGAGCCTCTGCACTGCCGTCCCCTCCTAAAGCATGGCTGGATTCTCAGCCCATTCAACCCCAAAATTACCTGCTCAAAGAGGAGCTCCTGACCATCCCCTCTGAAAAGGCTTCTCTGAACTGGGCACAATGGCCCATGCCTAAGGTCCCAGCTACTCAGGAGACTGAGGTGGGAGGATTGCTTGAGTCACGAAGTTCAAGCCCAACCTTGGGTAACCAACATATGGAGATATTATTTCAAAAAAAAGAAAAAATATTGTAAAGAAAAAAAAATTTCCTCCATTACCCCCTCTCCCTTCCCTGCTTTGTTCTTCTTCAAATGCTTATCATCTCCTGTAATTACACTGTATATGTATTTATTCATTGATTCCATCTCACCAATGAATACAGAACACCAATGTTCTGTCAGCTCGATTAGGGAGTTTTGCCTGCTGCGTTTACTGCTATATTTCCAACACCTGCTACAGGGTTGGCACATAGTAGTTACTCAGCAAATATTCCCTTAATTCATTCATTCATTCATTAATCAGGAAGGGAAAAATCTGTCAGGGTCCCTGCTACTCAGGTAACAGATTGGTGTTAGAGGCAGTTTCATCAGACATTTACTTTACAAGAGAAGTAAAGCAGGCTCAGTGACAGGGCCAAGTGCCCCCAAGGTAGGCATACACTGGAAAACAGAGCACTCACTCACACAGAGATGGCTGGCGTGTTCCCAGCATCCGTGGAGAGCGGTGGCATGCACCAAAGTACACCCACCTTGCACATTCACACACATGCAGGTCCAGCCCTATTTCTTTTGCTGCAATTAAAATCCAGAAAGGCTTGGGAATCTCAAAGAGGAAAAAAGAGGAGCATTGATGGGGTCCATTGCACTTACTCAGAATGTTAGAGAGGTGGAAGCAGCCTAAGTGTCCCCCAGTGAGGGGCTGTTAAGGAAATTAACGTGCATTGAGTCAGTTGATGTGCATCCATTTAATCAAGCAGGTATTTAAGTGATGAGTGTGAGGACGATGTAGAAACATTGAAAATGATCGTGACCCACGTCAAGTGAAAAGGTCCTCTGATCATATTGTTTATTTTCCGATGAATGGGATTATGTGAGACGGTGACAGTCCTGCTAGGGTTATAGGATCCCAGGGGTTTTTCTTTTCTCTTCTCCAAATTTCTTGTAATATTTGTAGACTGTCCTTCTAACAACTGCAGCGCATGTTTTCTAGGCTGTGCTGGTCTACAGCAAGACGCAGAGTCGTAAGAACAGCCACAGAATTGGTTCTTCAGCCACTTCCTTTCCAAGGAAACAACCCGAGTCTCCTCAGATGATTTTGCTGCTCCCCGAGGTTATGTGTGGCCACCTACAGTGTTCACCCTCTCCAGTTCCTCGATTCTCTCTCACCAAATCCATCAAGCCCCCCGAAAATATCACCTCTGCTGGCGGAAATGAGCATTCCATCTGCCGTGCACACCTGCAGGCTTTGGACCAGCGTTGAGCGTCTTCTGGTGCCTTCTGTCCTCATTTGGAAGCCTGGGCCACAAGGTTACCACTTTGTTCTCACCTCCCTGGGTCTCAGCAGCACCCTGCAGGGCCTGGATGCCATGGGAACCTCTCTGATAAGCAGTTATTGCCAAAGAGACCAGTTGCCCCAACCAAGTGACTAGGCTGCCACCCCTCAAAGTGGAAGTCCCTTTTCTGCTCAAAGGTTTCCAGAAACACCATCTGTATCTCTGAAATCTCTGCGTTTGCCTTATGCATAGACAATGGCAGATTGAGTCACAATGGTAGGGTAGTCCACTCTTTACCCCGGCGGCAACCTTGAGGCTCAGCAAGGCAGGGATAATACCGAAGGGCCACAGTCTGGCTGCTGGGACAGAACCAGGGCCTGCCCTCTGTCAGGAGACCTGTATCCGTTCTTTTAGGTTTGTGTCTGTGAATTCTTTTAGTTTTCCTTCAGCTGAGAATGTCTTTATTTCACCTTCATCCCTAAAGGATGTTTTTGCCGGGTTTTGAACTCTAAGTTAGCAGTTACGCTTTTCTTCAACACTTTATGAATACTATATCACAGGCTTGGATTGGTGGCTCACGCTGTAATCCCAGCATTCTGGGAAGCCGAGGCAAATGGATTGCTTGAGCTCAGGAGTTCAGGACCAGCCTGGCGACATGGAGAAACCCAGTCTCTGCAAAAAATACCCAAATGATCTAGGTACGGTGGTGCCCATGCCTGCAGTCCCAGCTACTCGGGGTATTGAGGCGAGAGGATCACTTGAGCCTGTACTGAGTGGTGGCCGCACCACTGTGCTCCAGTCTGCACAACAGAGTGAGGCCCTCTCTTAAAAAAACAAAGACATACATACATAAGTAAAATACTGTCTCACTTCCTCTGGCCTCCATGGTTTCTGGTGAGAAATCTGCAGTCATTCCTTGTGCCTCTGCAGATACCGAGTAATTTTCCTCTGGCTGCTTTCTAGACGGGTCCTCTGTCTTCAGCCTTCGGTTGTTTGATTATGGTGTGTCTGGATGTAGATTTCTTTGTGATTATCCTGTCTGGAGTTTATTCAAGTCTTGAATGTGTAAGTTTATATATTTCACCAAAGTCGGGACATTTTAAGAACATTATTTAAACGTCTTCAGCGTCACGGTCTTCCTCCTTTCTGAGATCTGCATGGTATAACTTTCGCTGTTGTTGCGCACGTGAGAGGGCTCTGTTCTTTTGGTCATTCCATTTCTTGTCTCTGCGGTCTACAGGGGGTAATTTATATTGAGAGGGGCTCTGTTCTTTTGGTCATTCCATTTCTTGTCTCTGCGGTCTACAGGGGATAATTTATATTGAGAGGGCTCTGTTCTTTTTGTCATTCCATTTCTTGTCTCTGCGGTCTACAGGGGATAATTTATATTGAGAGGGGCTCTGTTCTTTTGGTCATTCTATTTCTTGTCTCTGCGGTCTACAGGGGATAATTTATATTTATCTATATTTAAGTTCACTGACTCTTTATTCCATTGTTTCCATTCTGCTAATGAGTCCACCAATGAGTTTCTTGATTTGGTTCTCGCATTTCTAAGTTCTGAAATTTCTATTTCTTTGCTGAGATTTTCTATATTAATGTTTGTTTCAAGAATGTTTACGACTGCTCATTGGAGCACTTCTTGATAGCTGCCTTAAAGCCTCTGCCCATTAATTCCAGCGCCTGTGAAATCTCTCCACTTGTGTCTGCGGATTGTCTTTCCCGAAGGAAACTGGGGTGGGATCGGGAACGGCTGGGGAATGACAGAACCCGCAATGCGCAGTGGGGGGATAAAGGAGAAGCTGACCTAAATTATGATGGTTCTTTGCATGCTCAGTATTTTTTTATTTTATCCTGGACCACTTGAATGTTATATCGTCAGACTCCGGTTCTCATTTAAATATCATGAAAAATGTTGATATTTTGTTTCAGCAGGTGATGGACATGGTTAGGTTCAGTCTACAGATCAAATTCACCTGCCAAGCACAGCGATGTCAACGTCCACTCGGTTTTCAAACTGCTTTTCGTCTCCCTTTCAGGCGTGCACCACCCAGAAGCCAGGCTGGGAACGCGGTGATGACCTGTCCATTACTTCCGTTCTCAGACTTTGGTGTTCATTAGAACCAGATCCAAACACGTTGGCTTGGGAGTGAGCCCTGGAATTCATACACAGCTGTATGGAGTCCCCTCCCTGAGCTCCGCCCTCTCTGCAATCTCCCCGGTACTCCCAGTTCCCCAAGGCTCCCCTTCGTGGTCCTCCTCCCCAAGCTGGGGTTCTGGTCACTCTGTTCTACACACGTCTATGTTTGTAGCCCATGTTCAGGTCCAAGCGAAAGGAGAACAGAGAGAGAGAAAAACATCAGTGGAAGTGAGTCTCACCCGCTATGTGGTCACAGTTCTTCTGAACAAAGAGTATGTTTACCGCCCTGAGTCTGGGCTCCGGCCAGTCCTGTCACTGCTGACGCTGCAGGTGTGGCTTTGCCCAGGTCCTCTGGCATGAGAAACAGAGAAAGAGAAGACATTTTTTAGAAAAGAAGAGAGGGTGAGGATGGTTGTGTTCTCTCTGGGCATTAGGAGTTCCTCTTTTCCCTCCTTGGGCCAAAACTGAAGAACTTCTCCTGCAGCTGTCTGAGCCCAGAGCCCACTTCCAGCTTCTGGCTCTGCTAAGTTCAAACCAAGGGACACAGGAGCTGGGAAAGTGATACTCACGACTGCTTTGATGTGCTTCGAATTCTGTGTTCCTCACCGATATGCCTTCCTGTTTTCACTGTCCTCAAACAGCTGCTGTAAACTTGACCAACAGAAAGGATGGGTGAGGAGCACTTATTCCATCTTACCTGGAATCAGAACACCATGCTTTTCAATGTAGAAATTTCACAGTAAAATCCCTCCTTCTTCTGAAAATCTGGCATTGATGAGCCTTCAAAGCTGCATAATGACTACGTGGAGGCCAACACTCGGCTGCCCCTCTAGACAGGCCAGCTCACACATTTGTGTGATATTTGCAGCCCCAGCGTAGGGGAAGATTGAACCAACCATTTCCAAAAGGTAACCACACGGGTACCACTGGGCCTCAGCCACGCAGCTTGCCTCCTGGATCATTATGTCATTCTGTGGCCAGCTCTTTCCTGCCTCCCCAGGCTCTGGCCCAAGTTCATCTCTCCAAGCCCTGGCTGAAGCCTCTTCTACCCTGATTCGCCCCCTCTTGGGGTCCTTCCTTTGATCTTCTGTCCACTCCCCTCCTTTCTCTCTCTCTCTCTCTCTCTGTTTTTTTTTTTTTTTTCTTTTTTGAGACAGAGTCTTCCTCTGTCGCCCAGGCTGAAGGCGATGGTGCGATCTCAGCTCACTGCAACCTCCGCCTCCTGGGTTCAAGTGATTCCCCTGCCTCAGCCTCCTGAGTAGCTGGGACTACAGGTGCGTCCCACCTGGCTGGCTAATTTTTTGCATTTTAGTAGAGACAGGGTTTCACCACGTTGGCCAGGATGGTCTCAATTGCGTGCCCTCATCATCCGCCCACCTCGGCCTCCCAAAGTGCTGGGATTACAGGTGTGAGCCACCACACCCGGCCCCCTTTTTCCCTCCTGCTATTCACCCAAGACCTCAGCCCCATCTGAGTAATTAGGTCCAGCTGTGCCCGCCTAGACTTCTGTGTCTGTCCACCTGCCACCTACCTTTGAGAAAGATACCAGCCACGGCCTTCAGGGCCTGCCCCTGCCTTTTCTCAGCTTGCCAGGGCCTGGAAATTTCTGCAGGAACTCCAGAATCTTGATGAAATATTATGTCAAGAGGTACTGAAATGTTAAGACCCAGTAATTCGGCTGGACACGGTGGCTCATGCCTGTAATCCCAGCACTTTGGGAGGCCGAGGCAGGCGGATCACGAGGTCAGGAGATTGAGACCATCCTGGTCCACATGATGACACCCCGTCTCTACTAAAAATACAAAAAATTAACTGGGCATGGTGGCGTGTGCCTGTAATCTCAGCTACTCAGGAGGCTGAGGCAGGAGAATCGCTTGAACCCAGGAGGTGGAGCTTGCAGTGAGCTGAGATCCTGCCACTACACCCAGCCGGGAAATAGAGAAAGACTGAAAAAAAAAAAAAAGACCCAGTAATTCAGGCACCAGGCTCTTCTCTAAGAATGGGTGTTTTATTTTATCTTAGTTTTGGATTCTTTCATACATATGATTTCCAAGACACTTCTGGCTTTGGAAAATCTCCAGGGATTTTCCAACCGAATGAAACCTGGGTGTCAGTGAAGCTTTTCCTATGCAGTAACCAACAATTGGAAAAACTGTCAGTTCCACCCGTACAGAAGACGACAACGCCCTCCAGTGGAAACTTTACAGAACAGTCCTCAGGGTGCCCGCTTCTCTCTGTTGTGGGTTTAGCTGTGCAGTGTTTCACCCTCATCCATGGGGGTGCATTCCAAGACACCCGGTGGATGTGAGAAACTGCGGGTGGCACTGAGCCTTAGAGATCCTGTGTTTTCAGAGCTGATAAGAGCAACAGCTCCTGAGTAACTAATGGGTGGGCAGCATACACACAAGGGTCTCAGATTTTTTGCATTTTACATGCACTGAGACATGGGTCTCAGTGGACACACATGGGTCTCAGTGGACACACATGGGTCTCTGTTTCCCAGGCAGGACGGAGCGGGCGGGCACAAGATTTTATCCCACTACTCAAAACGTTGCTCAGTTTAAAACTTATGAATTTTTTATTTCTCAGATTCTCCTTTCAATGTCCTCGGACCACGGTTGACCCTGGGTCACTGAAATCACAGAAAGCTAAATTGCAGATAATAGGGGACGACTCTATACGCATTGAAACCTGCAAGATTCTGATCTATTTCTTCTTGCCACCCAGTCAGTTGAAATTGTAAAACCAGATGATTTGGGGCATGGAACTGTTTTCTAAGAGTAGGTTGTTTATTTTATTGTTTTACTTTTAACAGAGCTACCAAAAGGCTCCCAGATTTGGAAAATCGCCCCAAGAAAATGAAAAGGGAACAAAGAAGACAGAGAAGTGAAATGCTTTTTGTAGAATAAGAACTGAAAAAATAAAAAGGAACTCTTAGGGGTATTCTGAAGACAACTTGGTAACTATGGTTACCTCTAATTAGTGAACACCTTATGCTTTTCAGATTTGAGTGAAGAAAAACAGAAAGAAAAAAACAATTCCAAATAAGCAAAGATGCTACGTTCCATCCAGTACAGGTAATCATGTATTTTGGACATAAAAACAAAATACAGAAGTTTAACAGCAGATCAACACCCCACCTTCCCCTTCACCTCCCGTGTTTCTCCCTACATAGCAATACCTCATAAACCGAAACTGGGAGCTAAGAAAGTCTCCGTGAAGGACGTGACACCAGAGGTCAGGGGGCAGGGAGGCAGGCAGTGCGCTGCAGAGGCAGCTGACACAGGAGTCCTAACTGGGCCTAATTAGGGTGAAACCGTCCAGATGAATGCCTCCTGTTCTATACTGGACACGGGGGAGAGGATGAACCCTACTTTTGCTTCCTATCAGAAGTACTGAATTGGGACTCTGTAAGTACTGGGATTTGAACTTGGGCAGAGAGAGAAACTCCAAGGGAAACTCTCCTGGGTCTACTTCAAGTTTCCTATGAGAAGAAGCCACAACACACAAAAAAAAAACACACCCATGTAAGGGGAAGGAGAGAAGAGGAGGCATGATACGGTGCCCTCAGACTCTCCCAACCCCGAGACCATGGTCAAAGCCCTGTCTTCTAGTCTGAACAAGTCTCCAGCTGAATGCAGGCTGACACGTGCTTGTAACAGGAGGCAGGAAGGCTCTGGTCTCTCTGAGGGATTTCTCCACTTCAAGGAAGAAAGATTTCGTCGACAACTAGTGAAGCAACTAGACAGGTTTCCGATGAACATGGGTCACAGTGTGCAGAACAAAACGGTGGAAAAGAATGGTGGGGGTGGGCATGGATAAGACAAACTTCGGCCTACACGGTAAAAGTTGTTTGTTTGTTTTTTTCATTCGTTTATTCATTCATTCAGAAGCTATTTACGGAAATGATCATGGCCCAGGCAGCGCGCTGAGCATTGAGACACTGAACCAGAGCCAAAGGACTGACGCCAGGGCCTTCTCATTCTAGCGGGGGGGCAAGAGATCTGGTCCAGAGTCAGAGATGTAGGGATGTTTTCACCGGATGGCTAGGAGGCCTCTCCGTCTCAACATAACCAAACCAACTCATGAGTTTCCCTCAAATTTCCTCTACCTAGTGCCCTCCCCAACTCAGCTGATGGCAGCTCCAGCTCAGACCCAAATCCTGGGAACAGTCCTCGGCTCCTCCCCGCCCTTTACACCCTCCATCTAATCCGTCGGCATAACTCGTTGGCTTCACTTCAAAGTGTGTTTGGAATCCACCCACTTTCATCACTTTGTTGCTGCCGTGGTCTGGGCCATGACTCTCCCTCCCCCGGGTTACCGTAAAAGCCTCCCAACTAGTCTTCCCACTTCTGCCCTCCAGTTTACAGACGTAATCACAGTGATGCACTATAGTCCCTGTTTCTGACCCGGTCATGAGGCCACACTTGGAAATGCCTTCCCTGTTCCCGGCAGGCTCACGTATGCGTGGCCACCTATGGTTCAGATCTTTGTGAAACGGAAATTATTTGTATTCTTCCCACTGAGTGAAGAATTCTGAGCAGCTGAGGACAAAGGAAGTAGGTGGTGGAGGAGTGAAGTCACAATCACTCATCGGTGACAAGGACCACCACGCTGGCTGTGTCCAGCCCGGGGAATACAGAGAACTGTGTGAACTGGTGTTGGAAGACTGAAAAAGCAAAAAGCAACATGGAGATAACACAGCACCTGCAGTGGCAGGGATCAGAGTCCTTGCCTCTCTGGGGCTGCAGGAACCAAGCGAATAGGTCATGATTAATACATTGAGAAGCTTAGAGGAGTGGCACTGAGCAGGAGGAAGCCAAACCTCGGAGGCGACTGTGCTACCTGGCTGTTGTCACTGAGCAGGGGGAAGGTGTGATAAGACACGTTCTAGGAATGAGGGGGTAACTACAGACAGGAACCAAATGCTGCTGCTGGGTGAAGAAGTTTCTGGGCAGACACTGACGGGGACAGCACACAGACAGGAAGAAACATGTCCCCTCTCCCTCCTCCAGCCCCCAGCGATGTCCCTATGAGCAGCATCCGACACGGAAGTGAGCTGCGGTTCCAGCTCCAGGAAGGCATGAAACAGTGAATTTGCGGATAAGAGACATAACGTGATAATGGGCATAGCTGGTTTTCCCTGACTTTCTAACCCAGGCTGTGTTGACATGCTTACCACGCCAGTGCTCCACAGGTTCCAGCACATCAAGACGAGACGAAGTCTGAACCTCCTTCTTCTATGGATCCGCAGCCTCCCTTTGGAGAATATCCTGCATTTTATTTGGTCTGTGTGCTGGATCGCTGCGTTGTGCTGAATGGAAATGGGTTGAAGTGAGGAAGAAGAGTGCAGTTAGGCGTTAAACAGCCAAGGGGTGGACTGCAGTGGACAGTCAATATTCTTCTTGTCTATGCAGCACCTTTAAACACCCTTCTTTTGTTTGGGAATTTTCTACCTCCCCAAAGTAGGAACCAGAAACTTTTTCCCAAGCCTCTTTTGCAGCCGGAGCACAGGCTCTCCAGGAGTGGGCTGCTCGTATGATTTGGGCATGTTGCTCCCTCCCTGGCTTCCAAGCCTGGTTCTCTGTCTTTAGGGAGAGTGTGTAATATAATTATTTTTTCCTTAATAAATCCTCTTTCTCCTCAAGCCATCAAGAGCAGGTTTCTCCTGTTTATAATTAAGAGGCTTAACTGGCGGGGTGCGGCAGCTCACACCTGTAATCTCAGCACTTTGGGAAGCCGAGGCAGGTGGATCACGAGGTCAGGAGAAGGAGACCATCCTGGCCAAGCTGGTAAAACCCTGTCTCTGCTAAAAATATTTTTAAAAAGCTGGGCATGGTGGTGCACGCCTGTAGTCCCAGCCAGTCTGGAGGCTGAAGTGGGAGAATTGCTCGAACCCAGGAGGCAGATATTGCAGTGAGCTGATATTACTCCACTACACTATAGCCTGGGTGACAGTGTGAGACTGTGTTTCAAAAAAAAGGAGGCTTAACTGATGCAGATGGTCAGAATATCCCATTTATTACATTACTCATATATTTAAGTTTGAACTTTTAAATTTTTTTTGGGTAAAAAGTAAGTATATCTATGTAGGGAGTACATGAGGGTAAATGGGGTATCCATCACCTCAAACATTTATCCTTTGTGTTACAAATAGTCCAGTTATACTCTGAGTTATTTAAAAACATAGAATCAAATCTGACTACAGCCACCCCATTGTGCTATCAAATAGTGGGTCTTACTTACCCTTCCCAACTACTCTGTGTGCACATTAGCCATCCCTGCATTCCACCCCAACCTGCCACTACCCTTCCCAGCCCCTGGTCACCATCCTTCTATTCTCTATGTCTGTGAGTTCAATTGTTTTAATTTTTAGCTCCCACAAGCAAGTGAGAACATGCGAAGTTTGTCTTTCCGTGCCTGGCTTATTTCACTTAGCAAAATGACCTCTGGTTCCATCCACGTTGTTGCAAATGACTGGATCTCGTTCTTTTTGTGGCTGGATACTACTCCGTGGTATGTATGTACCACGTTTTTAAATCCATTTGTTTGTTGATGGACACTTAGGTTGCTTCCAAGTCTTGGCTATTGTGAATAGTGCAGTAGACATGGGAGTGCAGACGCCTCTTTGATATACTGAGTAGGAAGAGGACTGTTGGACCGCATGGTAGCACTACTTTTCGTTTTTAGAGGGACTTCCATATTGATCTCCGTAATGACTGTGCTGATTTACATCGTCACCAACAGTGTACACGGATTTCCTTTTCTCCACATCCCCGCCAGAGTTTGTTCCTGCCTGACTTTTGGATATATTTCATCGTAGTTTTGATGTGTATTTCTCTGAGGATCACTGATACTGAGCACCTTTTCATACACCCGTTTGCCATTTATATGTCTTCTTTCGAGAAATGTCTATTCAGATCTCTTGCCCATTTTTTAATTGGGTTATTGATTTTTTTCCTATGAAGTTGTTTAAGCTCCTTACATATTCTGGTTATTCCTCGTCAGATGGGTGGTTTGAAAATCCACTCTGTAGGCTGTTTCCTCTCGTCACTGCTTGTTTCCTTTGCTCTGGGGAAGAAGCTGTGTAACTTGATGTGATCCCATTTGTCTATTCCTGCTTTGGTTTCATGTGTTTTTGGGGTATTACTCAAGCAATCTTTGCCCAGTCCAGTATCCTAGAGAGTTTTCTTGTAGGAGTTTCACAGTTCGAGGTCTTAGATTTAAGTTTTTAATCCATTTTGATTTTGTTTCCATATACGGAGAGAGATAGGGGTTTGGTTTCATTCTTCTCTATATGGATGTCTAGTTTCCCAAGCACCCTTTATGGAAAAGATCGCCCTTTCTTCAATGAACATTTTCAGCACATTTGTCAAAAATGAGCTCGCTGCAGAAGTATGGATTCAATTCCGGATTCTTTATTCTGCTTGGTTTGTGTGTCTGTTTTTATGCCACTACCATGCTGTTTTGGTTACTTTAGTATATTCTGAAGTCAGGTCATGTGATTCCTCCAGTTTGTTCTTAGAATACGTGTGGATCTAGAGTCTTTTGTGCTTCCATATAAATTTTGGATTTTTTTTTTCTATTTCAGTGAAGAACGTCACTGGAATTTTGGTAGGGATTGCATTGAATCTGCAGATTGCTTTGGGTAGTATGGACATTTTAACTATATTGACTCTTCCGAGCTGTGAACATGGAACATACTTCAATTTTTGTCTCCTCTTCAATTGCTTACGGTGTTTTACGGTTTTTACTGTAGAAATCGTTCACTTATTTGGTTAATTCCTAGGTGTCTTATTTTATCTGTGGCTACTGTAAGTGGGATTACTTTCCTGATTTCCATTTCAGATTGTTCACTGTTGGCACAGAAAAATGCTACTGATTTTTGTACATTGATTTTGGATCCTAAAACGTTACTGAATTTATCAGTTCTAACAGTTTTTGTTGGCATCCTTGGGTGTCTCCAAATATAAAATCATCTGCAAACAAGGGTGATTTGGCTGCTTCTTTCCAATTTGATGCCCTTTCTTTCTTTCTCTTGTCTGATTGCTCTAGCTAGTGGCTGCTTCTTTCCAATTTGATGCCCTTTCTTTCTTTCTCTTGTCTGATTGCTCTAGCTAGTGGCTGCTTCTTTCCAATTTGATGCCCTTTCTTTCTTTCTCTTATCTGATTGCTCTAGCTAGTGGCTGCTTCTTTCCAATTTGATGCCCTTTCTTTCTTTCTCTTGTCTGATTGCTCTAGCTAGTGGCTGCTTCTTACCAATTTGATGCCCTTTCTTTCTTTCTCTTGTCTGATTGCTCTAGCTAGTGGCTGCTTCTTTCCAATTTGATGCCCTTTCTTTCTTTCTCTTGTCTGATTGCTCTAGCTAGTGGCTGCTTCTTTCCAATTTGATGCCCTTTCTTTCTTTCTCTTGTCTGATTGCTCTAGCTAGTGGCTGCTTCTTTCCAATTTGATGCCCTTTCTTTCTTTCTCTTGTCTGATTGCTCTAGCTAGTGGCTGCTTCTTACCAATTTGATGCCCTTTCTTTCTTTCTCTTGTCTGATTGCTCTAGCTAGTGGCTGCTTCTTTCCAATTTGATGCCCTTTCTTTCTTTCTCTTGTCTGATTGCTCTAGCTAGTGGCTGCTTCTTACCAATTTGATGCCCTTTCTTTCTTTCTCTTGTCTGATTGCTCTAGCTAGTGGCTGCTTCTTTCCAATTTGATGCCCTTTCTTTCTTTCTCTTGTCTGATTGCTCTAGCTAGTGGCTGCTTCTTACCAATTTGATGCCCTTTCTTTCTTTCTCTTATCTGATTGCCCTAGCTAGTGGCTGCTTCTTTCCAATTTGATGCCCTTTCTTTCTTTCTCTTGTCTGATTGCTCTAGCTAGTGGCTGCTTCTTACCAATTTGATGCCCTTTCTTTCTTTCTCTTGTCTGATTGCTCTAGCTAGTGGCTGCTTCTTTCCAATTTGATGCCCTTTCTTTCTTTCTCTTGTCTGATTGCTCTAGCTAGTGGCTGCTTCTTTCCAATTTGATGCCCTTTCTTTCTTTCTCTTGTCTGATTGCTCTAGCTAGTGGCTGCTTCTTTCCAATTTGATGCCCTTTCTTTCTTTCTCTTGTCTGATTGCTCTAGCTAGTGGCTGCTTCTTACCAATTTGATGCCCTTTCTTTCTTTCTCTTGTCTGATTGCTCTAGCTAGTGGCTGCTTCTTTCCAATTTGATGCCCTTTCTTTCTTTCTCTTGTCTGATTGCTCTAGCTAGTGGCTGCTTCTTACCAATTTGATGCCCTTTCTTTCTTTCTCTTGTCTGATTGCTCTAGCTAGTGGCTGCTTCTTTCCAATTTGATGCCCTTTCTTTCTTTCTCTTGTCTGATTGCTCTAGCTAGTGGCTGCTTCTTACCAATTTGATGCCCTTTCTTTCTTTCTCTTGTCTGATTGCTCTAGCTAGTGGCTGCTTCTTACCAATTTGATGCCCTTTCTTTCTTTCTCTTGTCTGATTGCTCTAGCTAGTGGCTGCTTCTTACCAATTTGATGCCCTTTCTTTCTTTCTCTTGTCTGATTGCTCTAGCTAGTGGCTGCTTCTTTCCAATTTGATGCCCTTTCTTTCTTTCTTTTGTCTGATTGCTCTAGCTAGGACTTCCAGTGCTATGTTGGGTAACAGTGGTGACAATGAGCATCTTTGTCGTGTTCCACACCTAAGAGGAAAGGCTTTCAGTTTTCCCCCACTCAGCATGATACTAGCCGTGGGTCTGTCGTATATGACTTTTATTATGTTGAGATGTGTTCCTTCAATACCCTGGTCTTGAGGGTTTTTATCATAAGTAGACGTTGAACTTTATCAAATGCCTTTTCAGCGTCAGTTGAAAGGATCATGTGGTTTTTATTCTTCATTCTGTTGATGATATGTATCACTTTAATTGATTTGCATATGTTGAACCATCCTTGTATCCCAGCGATAAGTCTCACCTGGTCATGATGAGTGACCTTTCTAATGCGCTGTTGAATTCAGTTTGCTAGTATTTTCTTGAGGATTTTTGCATCACTATTCATCAGTGATGTCGTTCTTGACATTCCTCCTGAAGAATGTTTTTTTTGTTTGTTTTTTTGAGATGGAGTTTCGCTCTTGTTACCCAGGCTGGAGTGCAATGGCGCGATCTCGGCTCACCGCAACCTCCGCCTCCAGGGTTCAGGCAATTCTTCTGCCTCAGCCTCCTGAGTAGCTGGGATTACAGGCACGCACCACCATGCCCAGCTAATTTTTTGTATCTTTAGTAGAGACGGGGTTTCACCATGTTGACCAGGATGGTCTCAATCTCTCGACCTCATGATCCACCCATCTCAGCCTCCCAAAGTGCTGGGATCACAGGCTTGAGCCACCGCGCCCAGCCTAGAATGTTTTTAAAATACAGGTAAGTGAGGGCACAGTGGAGAAATAAGGCCCCACAGGGGGAGGGAGGGGCTGAGATCCATGTTATTGGTGGAGAAATGGGCCAGAATTAGAATGAAGGACCCAACCTCCTTTATATCAGACAGAACAGAGTAAGCAGTGAGTGAGCCCGCAGCAGGCTCACAGGTTTGAGCACAGAAAGTTGGAAGAGTTCCTGTGTGATGCTTCTGCTTTCTTTAGGAAAGAGGGCAAATATCTTTTGCCGAGAGTCAGAGAGAGAGGGAGAGACGTAGCAGAAAGTGAGGAATGAGGAAGGTTTGAGATCGTGCCTACAGAGAACGAGAGACAGCTAACTGGAGAAATGCAGGGTCTCCTGGCTTCCTTGAAGTCCCAGTTGAGGTGGAAGACCACAAACTTGGCATCACACTGCGGCACTCATACCCATTGTTTTCCCTGGAAGCCAGCAGCCTGGTTTGGTCAGGAGAAAAGAAGGTGAACAGGTGAATGATGCAGAACTGACTGCAACAGTAGACCATGAAACTTAGGAATTAAAGGTACTGGAACTATAGGCCATGGTCTAGGCTTCATAGAAGAAAAGGCAAGAAGATGGTGGGGGCAGTCGACTGGCAAATTAGAAAAGCAGAGGAGAGGACTAGCTGTTTCTGTGAGGTCTAAGAACACGAGGGGAATGTTCTGACTGAGAGACCCACGTGCCAAGAGGTTGTGTGAAAGAGTCGGGTAACTGACTTTTAAATTTCAGAAGTTGAGTGATTTCAGGTGGTGAGTTCAAGGATATGGCTTTGGCAGGATTGGAAGGGTGGCAAAGGCCAGAAGAGCCGGGGAAGTAGAGGAACTGGGACCCCAGAGCCAGATGATGGGAGAGCTTGGCAGACGTGGAGGGGTGGCGAAGGCCAAGAAAGCCAGGGAAGTAGAGGAACTGGGACTCCAGAGCCAGATGATGGAGAGCTTGGCAGACATGGAGGGGTGGCAAAGGCCAGGAGAGCCTGGGAAGTAGAGGAACTGAGACCCCAGAGCCAGATGATGGAGAGCTTGGCAGACATGGAGGGGTGGCGAAGGCCAGGAGAGCCAGGGAAGTAGAGGAACTGAGACCCCAGAGCCAGATGATGGGAGAGCTTGGCAGACGTGGAGGGGTGGCGAAGGCCAGGAGAGCTGGGGAAGTAGAGGAACTGAGACCCCAGAGCCAGATGATGGGAGAGCTTGGCAGACGTGGAGGGGTGGCGAAGGCCAGGAGAGCCAGGGAAGTAGAGGAACTGAGACCCCAGAGCCAGATGATGGGAGAGCTTGGCAGACGTGGAAGGGTGGCGAAGGCCAGGAGAGCCAGGGAAGTAGAGGAACTGAGACCCCAGAGCCAGATGATGGGAGAGCTTGGCAGACGTGGAGGGGTGGCGAAGGCCAGGAGAGCCAGGGAAGTAGAGGAACTGGGACTCCAGAGCCAGATGATGGGAGAGCTTGGCAGACGTGGAGGGGTGGTGAAGGCCAGGAGAGCCGGGGAAGTAGAGGAAGATGATTGACATGTATTCAAAGTGACAGCATGTATGTCACATACAAAATCACTACTTCACTCATGAGGTTTTGTTTAGTTATAAGTGCAGAATGACCGAGGTTGAGTGTAATAGTGGATCTCTGTACTGAACGCTCTGTGCACAGTTTCAATGAATAATATGCACTATCTTCATAACTATTTTATATTTCCCTGTTTGTTCTCATATTTTTAAAGGGTAATTTTTTTTTTTTGAAGATGGAGTTTCACTCTTGTTGCTCAGGCTGGAGTGCAATCTGCCATACTGGCTCCCTGCAGCCTCTGCCTCCCAGGTTCAAGTGATTCTCCTGTCTCAGCCTCCCAAGTAGCTGAGCTTACAGGCATGTGGCACCAGGCCCAGCTAATTTTTTATTTTTAGTAGAGATGGGTTTCACCATGTTGGCCAGATGGTCTCAAACTCCTGACCTCAGGTGATCCACCAGTCTGGCCTCCCAGAGTGCTGGGATTACAGGTGTGAGCCACCACATCCGGTCTTGAAAGGTGATTCAATGTCTACTGAAACTAATATTTTAAAAATTCAGCTTTTGTTTTATACTTCTTTGTATTGTATTGTATTTTTCCTGGAATTCTTTATTATTGTATTTTATAAAAATATTGGCCCACGGTGGACAGACGATTTGAAGAAATAGCACACCAGTCTTTCACCACTAAGGTTTGAGAAGTACAGTTCTGTGCATCCATAAAGTCCCAGGGAAGCAGCTGGCTGTTCACAGCTGATTAACTGACCCCTTCACCCCTGTGAACAGCCACTCTGGGTCAGGACTTGAGCCTTGAGAGGGCAGTGGCAGAGCAGGACCAGAGCCGGGACTGCAGCTGGCGGGGCTGGGGGTGCCACCACGCTGGGTTCCTGAGCCAGGCAGCTCACTTTCTTGATGGTCATTTCCATAGTTTCTGTGGAACCCCAGAACAGCGAAACACACAGTACCATTTCTTCTCCAGTCACAGGCTAGTGGCCCAAGGGTGACAAAAGCTACCACTGGCTTGAAATCATGCAACCAGGAGAGTCGGGGTCTGAGGCTGCTGCTGCTAATCTGGGCCTTAGCGTCACAGGTGACAGAGGCCCCAGGGAGGACTGTGGGTTTGCACAACTGAGGTGTGGGAGAATAACACGTCACTGTTCTGTTCTTTTCTTCTCTGAAAAGACGTGCCTAAACTTTTGCCTGCCAGGCGAGAATCTCCTCTATCAATGGCCCTCACTGTTACCAGCCGCCTGGCCCTGGGAAACCCCGCTGGGTTCTGCCCCGCTTTGCTCCTGGGGGCCCCAGGTCTCTCTCTTGCTTCCTGCCCCTGGATCTCGTCACATTGACGTACAGGCATTGCTGAGCCTCTGCGCTGCTGGTCCCTGAGGCTGCGTGTCTAAGCTGAAGGCCTGGATTTCTCTCACTGGTTTTCAATTCTTTGGGATTTCAAAGTAGGACTGGCCTGAACGTCGGGCATTTGGCATGGTGAACACTCAAGTACTCCTGAGAAACGCGTCCTTCAGCCCTGGATTCGGCCACTGTGCTGTGGCTTTGCAGAGCTTAGAATCTACGGGCTGAAGTAGAAGGGAGAAAAGGCTCTCACTTTCAGATGTTTTCAGAAAAAAAAAGCAAAACATTTTCTAACAAGATGCATTAGAAAGAAGCAGGTTGATTTCACAAGGTGAGAAGCACTCTAATACAGAATACGCTTTGCGAGCTCGTTTTAAAACTGCCCTCCTACTTCCTGGGTGCAACAGGATGATGAGCAGGTGGTTTCCTCCTCATTCTCTGATTAATTCATTCCCTTACACTGAAGGCGGTGCACGTGCTGTTCCCTTGTTCTGCAGTGCCTGCCTCCAGTTCTCCTGGAGAACTGAGACCCGGCTCATGCCTTCCCTCAAGCGGCTCCCGAGCCCCCCAAGCAGAAGGTCTCCTCCACTGTCTCCATGACCCTCTTTCTGCCTGCGAAAATGGAGGCCCTCGCAAGGCTGGGGCTGTGTGGGCTCGTCTGCCCAGAGTAGCATGGAACTGAGTCTGACTGAGCCAGGACATCTCGAGAGGGAGAGTGGGATGGAAGAACCTGGAATTAGGCGGGAAGACCCTCCACCTACAGAGTCCTTGGGGATCTGGCATGGCACCCCTACTCCCTCCCACCCCTACCCCCACCACAGCAGCCTGAGAACCCACCCAAGCTCCAGAAGGGACACCAGACTTCTGGCCCCAAGGAGGGGCTCTGGAATGTGAGGGGCAAGCCTTCTTCTTGAGCATTTCCTCTCACCTTGCACCCCAGAAACAAGCGCTCTATTTACAGCGAGGATGTTGGGGCTCCAGGAGGCAGAGCTGCCCGCCCTGAACCGCATTTCAGGGAAAGCAAACCCACCTGACCCCATGATTGAATTAGGGCGGGTTCTTCGGGTCTTTTGCTGTCTCCGAGCGCCCTCTGCTGGCTACGGAAAATAGACCTTTTAGGATATGATGATTTCGAGCCATGAGCTCAGATGTACAAACAATTTCATTTTGTTTTTCTAAATCTCAACGTAAC